CCCCCCCCTTCTGCTGCAGCTCCCGCTGCAGCAGCAGCAGCAGCAGCAGCAGGAGCAGCAGCAGCAGGAGCAGCAGCAGCAGCAGCAGGAGGAGGAGCAGCAGCAAAGTTGAATAGATCTGAGAACTCTGTGAGTATTTGCTGCGCGTTTATTCTTTTGCTTCTTTTGGGTTGCAGCAGCCGCTGCAGCAGCTGCTGCCAGCGTGTAGATACGTGGTGCTGCTGCAGCTCTTTAGATAGAGAATTGGGGTCTGCATTGCGGTGTATATACAGCACCTTTGCATGCGTTTCTTCTGCTGCTGCTGCTGCAGCAGCAGCAGCAGCATCTGCTGCATCTCCTGCTGCACCTGCACCTGCTCCACCTCCTGCTCCTGCTGCTGCTGCTGCTGCTGCTGCTGCTGCTGCTGCTGTTTCTGTTTCTCCTATATCTTCTAGCCCATACGGCAGCAACCCATCAGTAAACAACTCATAAAGAGCAACACCAAGACTCCATAGATCACTACTAGGGTGTGGATAAGCGAAAATTTTATTTTTTTTTTCTCTTTCTGCAGCAGCAGCAGCAGCAGCAGCAGCAGCTGCTGCTGCTGCTGCACGGTGTATATGCAGCAGCAGCAGCGGCTCAGCATACACCGGCGTTATGTCTGTTATTTGTGTATTGAGAGAAAAACCAAATAGAGTACTCGAGCCAAAATCCCCCAATAAAAAACTACCGTCTTTCCTAAGAAAGCAATTCTCTAGTTTTATATCGTTGTGGCTGATGCCTGCTGCATGCAGGTGCAGCACCTGCAGCAGCAGTCTAGCAGCAATATATTCTTTTGCTGCTGCTGCTGTTTCTGCTGCTGCTGCTGTTTCTGCTGCTGCTGTCCCTGCTGCTGCTGTCCCTGCTGCTGCTGTTTCTGCTGCTGCTGCTGCATGCAGCAGCAAACCAGATAGATCTCCTTGTAGCCTCTCCATGACTTGGACTCTATTAAATATAAATACACCCTCACCTATCACCACATTCGGCACCCCCTCTATCTCTGCTGTATATAAAGGTACTGCTATTCCTTTTGCTTCTGCTGCTCTTGCTGCTGCTGCTCTTCTTCTTCCTCCTCCTCCTGCTGCTCCTGCTGCTGCTTCTGCTGCTGCTGCTGCTGCTGCTGTTGTTGTTGTTGTTTTTTCTCTCCCTCCTCCTGCTGCTGCTGCTGCTGCACCTGGTGCTGCTGCAGTTGTTTTTCCTTTCCCTCCTGCTCCTGCTCCTCCTCCTGCTGCTGCTGCAGCTGCTGCTGCTTTTGCTGCTGCTTTTGCTGCTGTATTGTCTGCGCATGCAAGCAGCATGAGTTGTTCTTCTAGTTGCATTGCTGCAGAACCAAAGGCAGCTAATCTATCTATATCAGCAGCAGCAGAGAAGGGTGTATAAAGCAGCCGCATAGCGAGGGTTTCTTTAGTTTTTTTATCTTTTATTTCAACTACTGCGTTTGCTGCGCCATCACCAAGAAAAGCAGTTACAGTGTATACACGGGGGCCCCCCATAAACACATCAGCAGAGTCTAGCGGTGTTATGTGTGATAGAGATATATCTAAACCTATAAATTCTGCTGTTGCTCCCCCTGATACTGCAGCAGCAAGTGCATGCAGACCCGCTATAGTTGCTTCACCCGGTGGAGCAGCAGCAGCAGCAGCAGCACTTGCTGCTGCTGCTGCTGCTGCAGGACTAGCAGCAGCAGCAGCAGCAGCAGCAGCAGCAGATGAGCTCTGTAAGGAAAGCTGAAATGCTAAGAAATTTTTGCCTTGTTGTATGCGTGCAGACAGTGAAGCTTCAAATACATCGAGTCGAGGTAAACCAAATTCTGCTGCTGCTGCTGCTGCTGCTGCTGCTGCTGCTGCTGCTTCTTCTGCTGCTGATATATCTTCTTCTCCTGCTTCTGTGTCTGCAGCTGCAGCAGCAGCAGCAGCAGCAGCAGGATCAGGTAAAAGCCAGCTTTCCTCTCCTGCATGCAAGGATGAATGTAGAGGCCGTGCTCCTGCTGCTGCTTGTGTAAACCTACTACGTGCATTGATACCTAACATTAAACCATAAACAACAACACGAGTCGCAAATTTCGCAAACATTGTAACTAAATTTCCTATTTTTTTTTTTTGTATTCTCGATGAATTTGTTTTTGCTGCTGAAACTTTTTTTGTTGATGGGGGAGGTGATTCTGCTGCTGCTGCTGCTGCTGCTGCTGCTGCTGTTGCTGCTGT